TATCTTGAAGGGAAACCCGGATATCAGACAGAGGAAGACAACAGACAGTGCAGAGATGAAGAGAGGATGAAACAGACGGAGACAGACAGACATCATGCAGAGCATAAAGAGTTGTTGGCTGTTTAAATATAGAATGGAAATCATTTTAGGGAATATGAGTTGAGCTTTCAAATTAGGATCCTAAAAATCAATGTTTCAAAATGCTTGGTCAAGCTTAACCTGTGTGTGTGTGTGTGTGTGTGTGTGTGTGTGTGTGTGTGTGTGTGTGTGTGTGTGTGTGTGTGTGTGTGTGGCATTACTATACTTGTGGGGACCTAAATCTGTTTACACAGTCACGTGTGGGGACTGGCTTCCCTTATGGGGACAACATGGAGGTCCCCATGAGGGGAATCATTAATTTTAGGGTGAAGACTTGGTTAGGTTATGGTTAGGGTAAGGGTAAGGTTAAGGGTAAGGGTTAGGCATGTGTTGGTTATGGTTAAGGTTAGGATAAGTCTCCAGTAAATGCATGTAAGTCAATGTAATGTCCCCTGAAGTGATGTATACTGAGTGTGTGTGTGTGTGTGTGTGGCATGCAGACCGATTGCCTGGGCCAAAGTAGGGCAGGAGAGCCTGGCATCGACTCAGCTTCCTGCATGAGTGACCTGAGGAAACAGTGTGTGTGTGTGTGTGTCTCCGCCCTACAGCAAGCTGCTGTCAAAGAGGGGGAGGAGCCAGCAAATGCACCGACGAACGAGAAATGGAGAAAGAGAGGAGCGTGGCAGAGAGAGAGAGAGAGAGAGAGAGAGAGAGAGAGAGAGAGAGAGTTAGCATCTGTTGTCTCTGTGGTAGCTGAGCAACACTGGACTGATTTCACACACACACTCTACTGCATGCCTACACAAACTTCTTTTCACACACATCTTTTCTTTCTACCACATGCTTGATCTAATGTGGAGCTGACGTTAGATATTTCTCATCATCTCTCTTTCACACACACACACATCTGCTCTCTCTCTCTGGGTTTTTTCTTTTTTTAATTCCATCTCATTCACATCCCAGGACTCTTAGCAGCAAAACCTGGCTCTCATCCGCAAAGACACTTTTCCCGAAAGCCACTGTAGCGGCATCAGACGCTGTAGAGACTGTCTGCCAGCAGCATGTGAGTACAGCTGAGCGAGAGTTGGGAGAGACAGACCTGAAGTTGTTTTCTAGCAAACAACCTTATTGACAACATTTTAGTGGAGGGAGAGTTTTGTTCAATCTTACTTTAACATAGGACTGAAAAAGAGGATGTGATAACAAGTGATGCTGGATTAACACGTTGCCTTTGGTTGAATGACTAATAGTGTGAGAAAGGATCAGTGATGTGGAAACATTGGAGTATCAACAGTTTCTCTCTGTGCTTTTGCATTATTGCTGGATTTGGTTTTAAAGACTAAAAAGGAGGATCAAAGCTGCTTTGACTTCTCATCCCTAGCACACTTTGCTTTGCCCTTAAGAGGATCCTAGCTGCAGCACCGGCGTTGTCCTTTTAATGAGGACTCAGTGATATCTTAGACTACAACATGGTCTTTGTTCTATGGATCACACAGAGGAGCAGCTAATCTCCGTAGCTGTGTTGCTGCCTCTCATTGATGAACTTTTGCTTTATTCTTTGTTCCACTATCACATGTGATTTTGCTGCAATACACCTAAACTCAGTCACAGTCTTAATCTGTTTCCTCTCCTTCTCTTCCTTTGGTCCTGTGTCTCCCTCCCTTTCTCTCTCTCTCCCTTCCTCTTAATCCCATAATGCTGCATTGAGGCGATGTGTGTTGACAGAGACACTTAGATGCCGATGATGTTGAAAATGCATCTTGTGTGATGTGTTAGAGCACTGTGTGGTATGTCCACAGAGACAAACAGAAGTGTCAATCCATCCATTTGTAATGGGTTAGAGCTGAAATTGAAAAATGCCAGACTGAGATCAGCAATTGGATATATTTACAGATAAAGTAATACATGAAATGCTTAGTAAAGAGAAATATTAAAGGGTGCATTCTAGTTATGTTCAGGCTTTCTGCATATAACCGTTAGTTAGTTAACAATGGAACACATACATGTGAATCTCTTGTTTTTCCAGAACATCCATGAATTGAAGAAGCATAACAATGAGTGTTTCTGTGGTTTTAGATGTGTGTAGTTTGGAGCCGTTTTAGTACAGTTTAGCTGTTTGGGTCTTTGAGCATCAATGTGTCAGATTAATGAGCGCTTTGGGGGAAATCAGAGCTGAGATCTGGGTGTTGTAGGCAGCTTTTTGACAGTGTTGACAAGATGAGCTTGTAACCACAGAGGTAAACAGGGAAATTAGAACAGAAATAGGGAAGAAAAGACAGGAGATACTGCAGGTTCAAGATGTGTGTGTGTGTGTGTGTGTGTGTGTGTGTCAGTGCATGACCGTGTGTGTACCTCGAGTATGATTGAATTACTCAGGGTTAATTAGATTCTGTAGTCCACAGTAATGGCACACACACACACACACACCCACCCACACAGAGACATCCTTCAGAAGGGCTTTTGCAGGCTTATTGCCAGTGGCGTTGTGATCTGTGTGTTAGTTCAGTGTTCTTCCTGGGAAGCTGTGTGGTGTTAAGGAGACTAGAGGACAGTCAGTAACCATTTATTACACACTTCTCTGCTGTTTCTTCAACCACTCTGATTTACTTCCTGGTTAGAACTATATATTTTTTGTTTGAAGATAAACATCCTAAAAATCCACTGTGCACATTAATAAACACGTGATTACCTTTTTGTTTTCTCACTTTGTGCATTTCCATAAATAATGTACATTTATAATTAAAGAGGCACTGGGACATTTGTACGACCACTAGAAACTAAATGGGTCAGAAACTAAAGGGTGTTTGCAACATGTAGCAGTTGAATACTAAAGCTCATGGCTTCTTTGCTGAGTGTGTTTGCAAATCATTGCACTTTGCATTGATTGGCCAACTGGTCGCTCTCACAATGTACTACTTGTCATTCATGTGTGATGGAAATACAGTTGTTCATCGCAATCAAAACTGAAAGGGTTGTTTGGAGATTTATTGTTGTATTTGTATAAAACGTCAATTTGAGTTTGCAATGGTTTGGAAAAAAAAACATATTCACATGTTGAGGTGTTACAGTTGCAGTTTGTTTAGATTTCAGCTTTGTGTGTTTCTACTAGGTTAGTTACCTCAGCAAATGAGCGATTATTAGCTTACTAACCAGAACTCCTCCACCCAGTTTGTAGTCTAGTACAGTCTGTTTATCCCGACAGAATGCAAGACGACTTTAGTTTAGTTTTCCCTACAAATAAACTCACTTTTAATAAACACTGTCTATGTTAAACAATGTTTATTTTGTACACGTATGTTACACTTATGAAACGAAACATTTGACCAGTTTAGGAAACAACGTAATGAAGGAGGGAATGGTTTAGACTCAAATCTGTTTTTGTCTCTGCAAATGTCTGGTGTTGACTGCTGTTTCTGCGTGTCATGACCTAAGTGTTGCATGTACCTGGCTTTTGTTCTTTGGGTGCTTTTCATTATGTTAACGTTGTCACACCCTTTATTTGTGTTTTAGACAAGTCCACTGAAGTACTCTTACAAGGACAGGGAAGTCTTAAAGGATGTCAGTTACTTATGACCTGCTGCACAGCTGTGTGTCAAATGTGGGGGTGTGTTATTTATACAACACTGTTCTTCATAAAAGATCGGTTCAAGAGATTCTGCAAAGATCACACCTGTGCTCAGACTTCATGTCTCCTTGATTTCCGTGAGGAAGCATAATTTAGCAAAATATAAAATCACCATTTGCTTCAGGATGCTTTCAATCATCTAACTCCTCCTATCCAATCAGAGACACCTGATAGAGAAACGCCCTCAGCTTGCTCTGAACTACTCATCTCCATAGACACCGTAGATGGATTTAAAGGTTACCTATTATGCAAAATCCACGTTTTCATGTCTTTTATACATAAACATGTTTCAGGAACAAAGACCCCCTCTCTTTTTGTCCTGATCCATTTATATAAAAACCTATCTGAAAATGAGCTGATCAGATTTTGGCCACTTTATGATGTCATAACGTTTTTTTGGTTTGTGTAACCATTAGCCAATCAGCAACCAAGGTAACCCCCACCACCTTATCACCTGAATCTCCTCCTAGAGCACCATTGTGTTCTTTGTAATTAAATATGTCTCAGAGGGGCGTGGGGAGGGGCTCCTTATTTTCATTTAAAGTGATGTATCTGTCTTAAACTGGCTGTGTGTGTGTGTGTGTGTGTGTGTGTGTGTGTGTGTGTGGTGTGTGTGTGTGTGTGTGTGTGTGTGTGTGTGTGTGTGTGTGTGTGTGTGTGTGTGTGTGTCTTGCCTGATGATATTGACATGGACCTGGTGGTCTGATGTAACAGGAGTAAAATATTTAGATCAAACAGACTATTAGATTATGGCTGTAGAGAAGACAGCTCAGTGCTTGCGTGTGTGTGTGTGTGTGTGTGTGTGTGTGTGTGTGTGTGTGTGTGTGTGTGTGTGTGTGTGTGTGTGTGTGTGTGTGTGTGTGTGTGTGTGTGTGTGTGTGTGTGTGTGTGTGTTCAAAGCTGAGAAACACAACAGTGAGAGAACTCCGTCTGCAATTGGCCAAGGAGAACAAACTATTTGCAATTCTATTCACATCTTAAGATGCGTCTTGTACTTGTTGTACCACAGCCATTTGAAGGAAATGTGTTTAACAAAGTGTGTAAACCTCCACCGACCCCAGTGTTTGTTCATGCCTCTGAACTTCTTTCATCTACAAACTGTCATTTGCTTTCTGATCTACTGAGCAAAGGTGACTGAGGCATAAAACAAAAAATCAGTATCGCTCAGTAGCTTCTAATGTAGATTAACAGGTAGCTTGTCAATCAAATTCTCTATAAACTATTCAATAGTTTGTGAAATGATTACTTTAAAAAGCTGAATTCTGCTAACAGTGTTTTTTTGTATCTGTGTGTGTAGAGTACAGTCGTTTTGAGGCGAAGATCCATGACCTAAGGGAACAGATGATGACCAGCAGTGTCAGCTCCAGCTCCACGTCGCTCCGCTCCACACAGAAACGCACCCTATACGTCAGGTACCACAAACACACAAACACACACTCTCACACACACACACACACACACACACACACACACACACACACACACACACACACACACACACACACACACACCACACACACACACACACACACACACACACACACAGTGTTCAGAGGTGACTGATTGTCTAGTGTCCTTCAGTGTGACACCACCATTATAAGAGCTTATCTCAGCTGTCTGCTCCTCGTTTTGTGTGTGCCAGGTGCTGAAAGAGAGGTTATCACATTGGAAGAAAAATCACAATTAGATTATCCAGCAAGCACTACATATCCTGTCTAACCCACAAACACATCCATTACCTGTCAACTATTTCAATTTTCTGCGTGTGTGTGTGTGTATTCCTCTGTCCTCCTGTCCTTGCCTGTCCTGGTTGTTTAGGCTTCTCTGAATCACCCCGTCCACCCTCTCTTTCCGCTGCAAAGTCCAGAAACAGTGTCACTCCTTTTCCAGCTACACTTTAAGGGTCCTTTCTTCACAAGAATCACAGCATTCGAAATATTGATTAAACGCTAGGTCGCTGGCTCCAGATGAGTCACATTGGAGCTCTTTAGAGATCAATACAATGGAAAACAAAGTCAAGGAGAGCAGCTCTAATGATTACACTGATGACTAAAGCAATCTAATGAAGTATTCTGTATTCTCGCAGTTTACAACCCTAAGTCTCACATAACTTGAGCATGTGTTGTGATAACATTACCTTTGTATGATCAAAAAGAGTTGGCTCAAACATCAAGCAAGTGCTACAAAACTTGACATTGCAAACCAGCTACTATTACTGACCTGGCTCCATTACCCGCCTGCCTGGCTCTGGCATGATACTGATGCCATTCCCCTCCAGATTCCCGACCCACAGCAAGCCTGAAAACCTCCTCCTCCCAGTGATCAATAGGTCCTGGGCTAGCTGTGTAAACACTAACACTCCTCTGGTAATCTTATATCTAACAGCACTGCCAACAGCTACATTAACTATACAGTAGCTGATGTCAACTTGCGTTAGCAGCCTTTAGCATTACTTTTAGCAAAACTGAAAAATCTACAATAAACAGAGACCAAGAGGTTGCCTTGCTTTGTTGGGAGGGGCAATGAATTCTCATTGAACTTTAAATAAAAACATTTAGAAACACAGAGACACAAAATATACCTGTGAGACTCACATTAAGATACCACTATGATTTTGACAATGGTTGCTTATCCTGTAACAGGACTGTTTAAAAGAAAAGGGCCTGAGGAATCTTGGATTTGTTGCCATGTTGGCTTCACTGTCGGTTTTTTATCTATCATCAGTTTAAGTATTCCTGATTTGCAGGGTCAGGACTTTAAACTTAAGGGTATTTTCTATCTTTTTCAAAGGTCATTTTTGTCATTTTCTGTCTTGTGCACAAAAAAGACGAAATAGTTCAAGACATTAAATTACATGTAAGTTATGCAATACAATATAACAAACAATGAGCACCCAAACGTTACATTGTTCATTATTGCTCATGGTTGTCTTCTTATCTGGCCAAAGAAAACCCAAAGCAAAGAGGAAACTGCAGCTGACATACCATGCATGAAAGGAACATCTGACCTGAACTATGTGCAAGTGGCCTGGAAGGAAAAGGCAGCAGCAGCTTGAACAGAGTCACCTTGAACTGCTCACACCCTCTTAAGCCCCTGTCACACTGTCCCGAAATTGACACCCGATGGACACACAATAAAGGAAATGTTCAAATTCGGCTGTGATCGTAGCAACATCGGGCCATTCGTGAGGGCATCTTAAGCCATCGTATGACCGCCGGTGGAGTTTCTCAGGCTCCGGCAGCAACTTCGTGAGCGGCAACTTCGTAAGGCACTCGTGAGGGCATCCTGTCAAGTCATCTTCGTGTTATCATCGGTGCATTCACCCTCACTCTGATCGGGGCGAATGCCCGATGGCAACGATGATAACAAGATGCCCTAACGATGGCCTTACGAAGGGCAAAATTGACACACGAATTCAACACGAAAATGAACCTTCGCAAGGTCCTTCGGCAATTTTTTGGCATGCCAAAGATTTTGCCACCGCTCACGAAGTTGCTGCCGGAGCCTGAGAAACTCCACCGGCGGTCATACGATGGCTTAAGATGCCCTCACGAATGGCCCGATGTTGCTACGATCAGAGCCGAATTTGAACATTTCCTTTATCGTGTGTCCATCTGGTTGTTTTATTGCACAACAAAATCATGTAAACATATTATGTAAATAACCCAATTTGTGTTCTGTGAAACTGAAAAGGATATAATATATTATTTTGAAGGCGAGTTGACAGGAAGTTGTTGTTGCTATGGAAACAACATGACGGAGAAAACGTAATATTTTCTACATATAACGACGGAGAAAGTAAAGAACAAAGTCTGAAAATATCAGTACAGTATCATAGTACTTTAACATAATTGTTTGTGTTACTTTCGTTGCAGTTGTATGTCTTAAATGTAATGTTGCCTTCGTGTGTGGTTCGGGGCCATCTTCGTGCGAAATTCACAATTCAATATTCGTGTGTACGTTTCGGGACAGTGTGACAGGGGCTTTACAGACTGACTCACACAGAGCAGGGCTGAGACTCTGTAGGCAGCGAGAGGCCAAAGGTCATATCCAGTAGTCAAACAAGTGTCAGCGGTGTACAAGTCTGAAAGAGAAACAAGCTAATTGATTGTTTTATTGAATATATGACAATGTTTTGGTAACCTCGATGACCTACATGGCAACAAAGATCCTGTTTGTGAAACGTGGATTTAATAGACAAAACAAGAAAACATGACATTACACTGCTCGCCGTCACCCTTGTTAAATGTTAAAGTAGTCACCCATAGGCATGACATTAGCATCAATTAAGTGTGCATCCACTGTTATTTTGTGTTTTGTTTAAAAGTGAGGATAATGGCCTGTCATTTGATTAAATCACAAGAGGCCTGAATCTCCTGATAATCACTTGAGATACATGTGAGTGAAATGATGCAATAATCATTAAGTATAATTAGCTATCATTTAGAGATGCACTCTACTGATTCTATAATCAGGAAATAAAAAAGGCACGACAGTCTTTCTTCTCTGACATCATTACCAAAAATAAAACAACTCACGTGCCTTGTTTGCTACCGTCAACAGACTAACAAACCCCCCAGTGTCGATAGCCTCAGAATTTCTATCCACCAGGGCCTGCAATGATTTTTCCTCCTTCTTCACTGACAAAATCATGCAAATTAGACAGGCAGTCAGTGCCTCTGTATCAGGTACAGCAAATGTTTACCTAAAGCCATTTCAGACACCATGTCACAATTCCGTCTGATAAATGCTAAAGACCTGGAAGACATTATCCAACATCTGAAATCCTCCTCCTGTAGCCTCGACATCATCCCGACAGGATTTCAAAACTGTTTTTCATTGCTTGGCCTCAGATATACTACACATAGTAAACAAGTCTCTTCAATCAGGTGTATTTCCACAGGCCCTGAAAACTGCAATAATTAAACCGCTCCTAAAAAAGCATAACCTAGACAAAACCATAAGGCGCATTCACACTGCGGTACTTTTCCCACAAAGGTTCATGTGAACTTAGTTCATGTGAACTATTTAGTTCGCATGAACTAAGTACAGATCGCGTTCACACTGGAAAAAGTCCGTGGGGGTGGATTAGGCAAATGAAGCCGCTGACGTCACTTGTTCTTCTTCTGCTTTGGGCTTACTGGCAGGCCGCAAACCACTTCACGGCGTATACTGCCGACCAAAGTCCCCGGCCGGAAGTCCCCGGAGTTGGGGACTGGCTTCAGAAGAAGCTGCTGGGACTCCCAGCAGCTTCTACTGAAGCCTTCCGAGTAAATCGCCAGAACGCCGACACCTCCTCATCTCCACCGCTCCCATGTTTTATTTTGTGTTGCCATAAGTTAGTCTCTCTGCGTTTCTGCGCTGGGTTAATGCTAATGCTAATAATGCTAATGCGAGGATAATAAAATGGCGGCTTCACAAAACTTTTTGGGAGTTTTACGGGGCGTGGTTTGCAATCCTTCCAGCCAATCAGAAATGTAGCTCTCTTCTCACAAAAGAGCCGCTCGAAAGTCCCTGCTCTCTAGCAGGGACTTTTGTGGGGGTAAAAAGGTTCACATTAACTAATTTTAGTACCGGCTCTTTTTGGTGTGAACGCGATAAAAGAGTTCACATGAACTAAGTTCACATGAACCTTTGTGGGAAAAGTACCGCAGTGTCAATGCGCCTATTATGAATAATTACAGGCCAATATCAAACCTTCCCTTTTTAAGCAAATTGATTGAAAAAGCAGTTTTTCAACAGTTGAGTCATTTCATGTTTTTAACTGACGGTTTTGATGTGTTTCAGTCGGGCTTTCGACCTAACCACAGCACTGAGACTTCACTTGTAAAGGTCTTAAATTACATCCATTTGAACACAGACAGTGGCAGAATATCAGTGTTAGTATTATTAGATCTCACCGCTGCCTTTGATACTGTTGACCACAACATATTGTTAGACCGTCTTGAAAACTGGGTGGGAGTTTCAGCAACAGCTCTAAACTGGTTTAGCTCCTACTTGAAGGACAGAACAAACTTTGTCTCAATAGGCAATTACAAATCAACCCTGATAAATATGTCATGCGGGGTTCCTCAAGGCTCCATCTTAGGACCTTTGCTTTTTAATATTTGTATGCTACCTCTGGCTGAAATTATTAAAAAGAGCGATCTAAGCTATCACATCTATGCAGACGACACCCAGATTTATTTTAAAATTACACCGGGAGACTACTCTCCGATTAGAACACTGAGCAAGTGCATTGAGCACATCACTGACTGGATGACTCAGAACTTTCTCCAATTGAACAAACAAAAAACTGAGATCATTGTTTTTGGAGCAAAGAAGGACCGATTAAAAGTAATCGCAGAGCTTCAGTCGGCAGACTACAAAGTAACTCACAAAGCAAGAAATCTGGGTGTAGTGATGGACTCAG